TTGTGCAAAAAGGACTGGAAAAATGAACTGTATTATTGCAATTTTTTTTGTAAAAGTAGCAGTTTGGTATGAGTTGGCATGCATACAAGATTTACTAAGTGGGATAAGCTAATTATACTTTTTGTTGTGGATAAACAAATGCTTGTTGATAGCCTTTTTCTATCAAGAAACCAAGGAGCTAATTATTAATAACAATCATTGCACACTGAGTCTTAGCGTTTCTGATGGAAACAGTTTGGATTGTATAATAACGCCAAGCCCAGTTGTAGTCGTTTGAGTGCAGTAATGAAATCTGAATCTAAAATAAAAACAAGATTATTTTTGTCATGCTGACTCCACTGCTTGAAACATTTGTTTACTGCCCCCCAGATTTTTAAAGATTAATGCAGTAAATACAAAAATTAATTTTGGCTCCCTAAGCCATATATGTATTTGACAATTTTAACCACAAAGTAAGTTATTTAATAATAACCACTGATTTCTTTAAGCTGACTTAATGAACTCCTAATATCAGCAAATTTGAGGCCTAAAGGCACTAAACTAACTCTAGACTCAGAATTACATCCAACAGAATTACTCATCTAATATCATTGAAATTATTCTTGCACATAAAGGCAACCTAAGTACAAAGTTAAGTCTTTTACTAAGGATGTTACCTAGGATGAGCAGTATATGTTTATTAGGAAATTAACTACACGAATTGAAGAGACCAGACTTCAAAATCTAATTTTTATAAATATGCTCTATGTTCTCATTGGATAAAACTGGTTATTAACCAATTTTCCAGAACAGCTGTACAAGACTTCTGCATGGCAGCCGGCTAAATGGTACAAAATAATATGTTTAAGCTGGAATAGCTTATAATTTTATTTAAATAAAATTGCTGCTATAGAAAGTGCTTCCCAAAGCTAAGGAAAATATACAAATATTTTAATTAAGGCAAATTCGTTTTAAAAAATAAACCTTTTAGCAGTGATTACTTTGTAAACAAAGGATGGGTCGGAGGAGAGAGAGCCTTAAACTCAAGTCTGACATTCAGGCCCAAGTCACCCTATAAACCGGTCCTTAGCAATTCTATTTTCTATTCGGAAAAGAGAAACCAGCTGTGGGTTGGCTTTACTAGGTGATGTGTGATTGACTGACTCACCTGCTGGAGCAGCAATGCGTTCTCACCTTTTGCTGGTGTCTAAACACGTGGATGCACAGAGAGCAAGGCTCAGCCTACTGCAGCCATCTCTGGCAGCGCCTCTACCCCTCCCCAGCCCATAGATGGGATTGTTTAAATCTCCCTTGTTGACCCAGAGGTAATTCTTCCTCTACCTAAATAGTCGATATGAGTGAAATCATTCTCTTTTGATAGGTGGTTACTAGCAGTTAACAACCATTTATTTACTTTAAAAATTAATAATAAACTTTATAAACTAACAGTCTGTTTGCTTCTCCTCCCCAGTACATGCCCGGGTGAGTTGGTTATTTTCAGCCTTTATTCCTGAGGAGACTCAGGATGGGTGGGGGAGGGAAAGAAAGGGGAGGAGATATGGTGGGGAGAGAGAGAAAGGCGGGGGCGGGGGGGGAGAGAGAGAGAGAGAAAGAAAGAGAGACAGAGAGAGAGAAAGGCCCTAGGGGAGGGAGGTTTACAAGTGAAGAGTAGTTAGGGAATGTGGTGACTCTGAAGAATCGAGACCAGTAGTGTCCAGGAATTAGAAAAAAGAAACTGCTATTTCCGTGCGTTCCCCGGTCTGTGAGCCATTTAGGTGAGAGCCTCGCTCTTCGCAGTTCCTTTCTTCCCCTGCCTCGATGCCCTCCCCTCTTAATGCTATTTTAGCTTTTCCTCTTGTAAATTTCAGAGCGAGCGCAGAGGTTATTGAGGACACTTATCGGAAAGAGGCAAATAATAGAGGTGCTGAGAGTGTTTTTGATGTTTCTTAAAAGGCAAAAACAAAACGCCCTCCTCTAAACAAGGGCACAAAATTGTACCTGGTTTTTATTTTTATTTGGTGGAGTGGGGAGGGGGCTGGCTCTGGCTGAATAAGACTACTTTTTAGTATGATTTAATTTTTTTCAAAAAATTAAAAAATATTTTACTCTATCATATTTAATCAGCTGTAATTATAACACATTCAAAATGAATAATATGCCTTGACAGTATTTTTATTGTTATTGTTCATTGCATGATGTTCGACTGCTTTAGAAGCACAGGAAAGAGAAGTAAACGCGCTACAAATGGGGAATTACCCTCGTTTAGCATTAAAATTCATTTAGATAAAATTGCCACAAACATTTAAATGGGAAGATTAGTTCCCCCTCACGCCTTATTGCACTCGCTCAATGGTTCCGTTAAGAACATTTTACACGTTGGAAATTCCGTCTTCTCAGACGGCTTGCTGTTTCCTAGTTACCCACATTCAAAGCAAAGGCAGCAGCAAAGGCAGCCGCAGCAGCAGCAGCAGGAAAAAAAAAAAAAAAAGTTTTGGCAACTGGTCTGCAATTCATCCGCTGCTCGCCCCAGTCTCCCCTCCGCCCACTGCAGTCTGCCCCCAACCCTTCCCCTTCCCCACCCCTACCTCTTTCCCCTCATTATGTAATTCGCAGAGTCCCGTCCTCGAGGAAACACGTTGCCTAGTTGTGTAGTATTTATATACAATGTTAAAATACAAAGAAAGACCCCAAAATCAGTCGAGTCGGTTCCTCTCTGGGTCTCCCTCTCCCTCTCCTGTTCTAAAATGAGGGTTTAGCTTGAATGTGCTGAGTTTCTCACATCCCGTACCCTGAGGCCACAAGGCACGTTTTTTTGGCTTTCGTTTCTGCCAGGACTTTTCCAGGAAATTCACCACTGCTTTTTGCTTGCATTAGAAACGTGTGAAAGAATTAGTTTGAAAAGTCCATGCACCGTCTAGCTTTTTCTCCCCCCTTTTCCTCCTCCTCCCCTCCTCCTCCTCTTCCTCCTCCTCCTTCTTCTTCCTCTTCCTCTTCCTCTTCTTCTCTCCTCTCTCTCTCTTTCCCTCTCCCCGCCACTCTCGCACTCCCCCATCCTCCTCTCTCCCCCTCCCTTCGCAGAGCCACAGGAAAAGAGGAAAGTCGGCTTCGACTGCCATCTTTTGGGGATTTGGAAAAACGACTCGGTAGGAAACGGAGGGAGGCGGAGGTGCGGGAGTGGGGGAAACCCCCTTACTATCCAGTGTCGGAACTGGCTCCCTTAATCTGATGCTTAAATATTTGATGTGGAAAAATTACCCATAAAATTAGTTACTAACAATTTCAAATTGAAATCACTTATCGAATTATAAACGCATTAAAGCTGTATGGATGGTATTAGGAGTTCCTCGGGAGGCAGCGGGTGTCTCCTTGCAGTGAGCGGGGTGGGGCAAGTTTCGCCCCGGGGAAAAGCGCCCCCAGCCGAGCCCAGGGGCAAGGCCGGGAGGGCGGCGCGGCAACCTGGGCGCAGGGTCCGGGTCAGGGGGACCGAGCGGGCGGCCAGGTCCGGGCGGAGGCTGCGGCTGGTTCGGCTCGCGGGGGCGGGGAGAAGGGGAGGGGAAGGAGCCTGGGTGGGAGGCTCCGACCCCGGAGCACAGGCGCCTACCAGCAAACTTCGTAGTGAAGTCGAAGGATTCTGAAAAGGAAAAACACAAGCCCTGCCCTCCCCCTCCCCTCTCGCGTCTCCCAAGCGTCAAGCAGACTTCGCGCTCAACTTTGCGATCGGGGTTAGTTGCTGTGTGCAGTGTCCCCCAAGTGTGCGGGAGGAGCGGGAGGGGAGAGGCTCCTGTCCTGGGGTTGGGCCCGGCTCCGTGCCGCGAGTGGAAATCCCGCGGGCAGCTGCGCGGAGGTCCAGTCAGGACGTGCTACCCCTGAGTCCCACGATGCGCTGGGTCCCGGCCTAGGCCCAGTGCGTGGGCGGGCAGGTCTTTGCCCGGAGACCACAGCTCTGGCCGGGGGCGCTGCACAGGCGCCTGCCTTACCCTCCTGCCCTCTCTTCACCCCCATCTGAGAGTATAGTCTAAGGGACTGTTGACTTTGTCTCTGGAGATGGGGCGACCAGGGGTCTGCGAGGGAGGCTGTGGAGAGGCACCTCCTGGGTGGGCGTCCTCTTTCCTTGGAACCTCTCGGAGTGCTTTGTAGTAGCCTGGAGACTTCCTAATAGACTTTCCACATCGGGGCCCCAGACTCCAGAGTCCCATAGTGGCCCTGGGAGCGCGACCCAGAGAGCCTGGGGACTCGAGGGCACAGGGAACGAGCGCACGGCCTCCTAGGAGGGCGTTGGGTGGGGAGTGCCGGAGTCTGGAGCAGCAGCCGAGAAGCCGTAGAACGCACCCCGACGTCCTAGGCAGAAGCTCCTCAGGATCACTTTATAAGCTCTTCAAACTTTGCCCAGCCTTTCGGATACCCGCAGGCCCTTGGCCCATGGGAAGGCAGTAAAAACGTCACTTCATGCTGCAAAGCTCCCGGGTAGGAGCTTGGACGCCGATGGAGAGAGGCGTGGAACTGGGTAGTGGGGCGCCCTGCCTGGCGGGGCACTTTTCCTTGTCTCATTCTCGTCTCCCATGCCATGCCTTGCCCACTGGCTGCTAGCGGCGCGTTTCACTTAGGTTGGCCACGGAGAGGAGACTACGGGAGGCTGGGAATTCCAAGGTTTGGGGAAAAAGTAGCGAGCGAGAAAGGGGGGGTCAGGCAACTGAGGAAGACAGCTGATGGCGGGGAGAGGGAGGGCTCCCTTTTCGGCCCGCTCTACCAGCCAAGGCGTCTGAAACATTCTCTCCCTAGGCGGAGCTGAAAGGAAAAACAAACAACGTATTGAGCAATCAGTTCGCCAACGTTTGAGCTTTAAAGAGCCTTTGCTCTCAAAATAGTACCCTGGGGGTCTCCGTCGGGAGATGGGGGAAGCATTTTTAGGGCCTCGATTCTGGCTTGCCGCGCCCTACGGGTCACCCGTCTGCGCGCTGCCTCCTGACATCCCGGAGCGCTCAGCCCACTGAGGGGAAACCCGGGCGGTGAAGCCCTGGAGAAAAGGGATTTAGTTTTAAGCCAGTCTCCCATCGATCGGGTCGGTAATTTCTACCCCTGCCCACTCTCAAACACACTCACCTCTACCCTAAAGCATTAAGTTCATTATGCGAGCAATGATCTTAATCTCCAGGCGGAAAACGAGTCCCGGGACCTCGCGGATTGGGGAAGCAGTGAATAAAGTCACCTGCTTCGCGCACCCACTTGGCCCGCTCCTCCCGGTGGGGGCCGTGTGTGACAGGGAGCGCCGAGAGTGGGTCCCTAACTCCACTCCGAGGCGGACCGGGCAGGGGTCAGAAACCCTGTGTCTGTTTTCTGCGGGGTGACGACCTCCTGGAAGGGTGGGATTGCTTTTGCTTGCTTTGCTTCTCCCCTCCCTCTGCCTTTCTTCCTAGGCCTCCCTCACACCTCAGTACTCTTTCTTCCTCCTCCCCTCCCCCAAAGTGGCAAGTTCCCCTTCTCCACCTAGCGTCCAGAGGTTCTGCCCCTTTCCTACTCCTCCGCAGCCTCAGGGCCGTCGCAGAAGTCTGGTAGCCCGACGCCTTTTTGCGCCCATCTACCTCACCCACCTTTCTGGGCATGGGTGGGTGGGGAATGATCAGTGAGGCCCTTTTGAAGCCGCTTACTGAAGGCACCCAGAGGCTTTAAAGAACCAGATTTCTCTATTTAAGGGCGATCTCTGCGCCCATTGATAACTCCATCCCAAAGAAACCCAGCACAGCAGCAAACACCCCCAGCAGTCGCCTGCTCCTCAGCCCCCGCCTTGGCACAGAGCAGCGTCTGGCACTGCGGGGAGATGGAGGCGAGCCACGCGCACCCGTTCCCTTACTGGCCGACCCGCGAGGCGCCAGCTTGCTCTGGAGACTCAGTTTCCACTGGACAAAAGCAGGGGAAACACAACGCAAGGGCTGTGCAAATCCACGTTCCCGACACCCCTCCACCCCATCCCAATCTGATTTTTGAGACGTGCATTTTCAGGTAGTCCTAAACTGTGAACAGCGAGCTTTGTGTGTTATCTAGTGGGGGTGGGGATGAAAGGGGAGGAGACTCCCACTGCCCGTTCCAGTCTTTAATGTCTGAAATAACGAAATGCCTTGTGTAGCAGCTGCTGCTTGAGCCAAAACTAACTCTTTGGAAGACGGAAAAGAGTGAAAGGCAAAGAAAGACTGTTCATTTTTTTTCTTTTGGTGCCGTTTGGGATGTCATCTGTTTCCTTGGCGACTGTGTTCAGCCCCCGGAGCCCCTGGGCTCCTGGATTGTTAGGGGGGAAAAGCATGCTATTTCTGCACCGTCATTTATCACTGTCACCGCATAATGATTCCCCTTGCAGCCCCTTATTGATGTTTGTAATTGCATTATCTCATAAAGGAGGATGATCAATGAAACCGAGCCGTGCATTCTGGGGTCAGAGGAAGCCAAAGTACT